TACTCCTTTTGTCCTGTGACATGTGATCATGTGTTCTGTACCTGCCACATCTACAGTCGCCACTGCATCCAAAGAAGTAACAACCATAATTTGCCATTATCGTCTTTAAGATTAAAAATTATAAATTTTCTGCGATCGCGGCCATGAGAAACCACGTGACGTCGCTTTAACCCCGCCAGTCCTTAAGCGCGTGCAAAGATGCCAGGTTTTGTGAATAAGGTCTACTAAAAAGGCATGAAGGTTTTGAATAAAATGTAACAATTGTGTTATTTTTTAAGTCTACTTTGCTAATAAGTATAATTTCGCATAACTATTCTAAGATCTTTTAATGTGGTAGCACTTGTACCTGTGTTATAATCCCCTGTCCAACTTGATTCAGATTTCCGGTAGGAATGCTCTGGATTCAGGCCAAGAAAGAACATTACTGTAATTACTGTAATTATTTCCCTTTTGAGAGCTGGCTTTAAAAACTCTTACTTACTTCAACTCCCATCATCCCATCACTTATAAATCTTTTGACTTCTGATTGTCTACATATCTGTGTAACGAACAAGTAATTACTTATTATTGGCTCAGCTGAAACTCTGTTTTTTCTTTCCATACGAAAAGTGGAATAAACTTTGATTCGGCAATCGAAACAGCACAGAGGTCACTGAGGTGAACATTTATTAGAGCCGAGTTGCTGTTTTCGCTCAATCGTTTCTTCTTTCAATGTTTCCTTTGCTTTCACCGTTGTAGTTGTCTCGATTTCCTTTTTCCTGAAGTAGAATCGGCACTGTCGACGAACGATCAGTCTCAACATGAAACAAAAAAAAAATCTGCCCGTCAACTAGCGTATTCTGCCCGAGCCAGGACATCTGAGGGCACTAGAGTCCTCGTAAAACATTACAAATACTGTTCGTAATCTTTTTTAACAGCGAGGCAAAACCTCACTGAAAGCAGTTTTAATATTTGTGTAAACTAAAGTACGCAATCTTACTGCCATTAATTTGTTGGCGCTTTTTTGTAATTCCGAAAATAGAGACCTGTTCTACCAGCAGTATTTACCTAAGATTCAATTAAGCGGTTTACGTTACTCGGTGTTGTCAAACACAAAGGATCGTGGAACAGAAAATGACAAAATGGCTCGAAATCCGCTAATATAAACTCATAAAAAAAATCCCAGTTTATTTGTTACAATGAGATCTCGTTCCTGCAGGGCTCGATCTTAAATTTTAAGTTTAGTGGCAAAGCTTTGCTTGTAAGAATTTTTTCTACTAGCAAAAGCAGTAAATTTACAGGCTATTGGTGGAACCGAGTATAAATCACGATGCCGAGCTAAAATGTGCACTGTGATGTTGTCAATGTATGCATGGATTATTTTAGCCACAAAATAACCAAAATTCTTCAACAACGATTATCTTCTCTCAAAATTTCAACTCGAGAAATGCTCACTCGCCAATTTTTGCGAGAGGATTTTCTTTTGACTGGCAACTTCGGAAAACCAATAGGATTTTGCGAGTTTGCGAGTGCTAATCTCGAGCCCTGTTGTCCTGGGAGGCCTACTTTGCGCAAGTGGATTTGTCATTTTCTGTTCCAGCTCGCCACTGGAAGTCTAATTTATTGAGCACCACGACTCTCTCAACTCTTTCAGTTAAAACGCAATTGGCCATTTCCGAGTTCCAAAAACTCTCACTTTCGAAACGAGGCCAAGTTCAAAACCTTTCTTGTGAAAATGAAGTTTATTTGTATGGGAATAAAAAATCATTTTCAGTTATCAATGGCTTTGCACTTAGCCTCGCTTTGAAACACAGGCTTGAGTCAACTTGAAAATGACCGATTGAAGACAAAAATGTGGAAAAATAATCAAAATAACCTCAGGAGCTTGTTTTCAAACAGAAACTGCTGTTTCTCTAATTTAGTCGTCAAGGCTTGACAATTCTTAAGATTGCTGTTTAACTAGCACAGTAATTTACATGATATTACAGCAGGAAGATCTCTGTTTTATTCGAAACTCTGATGCCCTTTCATGGGTCTACAAAATAAAAACACAAACACAATCACACACAACGTAGTTAACTACACGCAAATAAGGAAATACGCCGTTAAAAAGGCCTTGAAGCTTAAGTATTTCCTGCTTTAAGTTTAACGATGCACCCGGTGCGTCGGAGGGAAACATATTACATGGAAGAATTTCGTTGCAGTATTTCAGGATTTTAGAGGAATGAATTCAGTGTTCAGTGTTGGAAATTATTACGAAGACTTGTAATGTAGAAGCCTTATTGTAAAAAAAAGCTTCCGAGTGTGTTTGATCATCTCCGGCGGACAGAAACACTAAAAGTCTTAATAATATTTTGGTTTAAGATAATATACAATAAAATACAGTAAATAAATTTAAACAAAGTTAAACAAAATTCCTTAACAAAATACAAAACAAAACTTAAAACCATCCACCTCCTTGAGGTAAATTTCGACGTGTACACATTTCAAAACCCTTATTTGGGTACAATGGGATTACAGGACATAAACAAAGGATATTTTAAGTGAGCGACGAAAAAAAGGGTGGCGGGTTTACAAAAACTTTGTCAAGATGTACTAACTTCCAAACAGGCCGCACGTACCGACTGTGAAGATCATTAAATCAATACTTGGCCTAACAAATAAGAAGTACAGTGTCTGATGGGCAAATTTAGTCGGGAACTGAGTTCTGCAAAAGGGGTGAGCGAATTACAAGGTGTGAAACCCTTATATTAGTGACTGGACTTGCTGTAAAACACTGTAACCATCCGAACCAGATGGAGAGTTATCGATCACTTCATCAGAGTAACGAGAACAAAACGAACTCCTTTTTTACATCGTAGATAAGGTGTCTGTTTCTAATTTCTTTGCTGATCTACCAATTGTTAAACAAAAGTCTTTTTTTAAAAGTTAATAGGTCTACTTGGCACAAAATGTCAGTGATATCTTCCCTAAACAGCTTAAAAAGGGAATCTATTTTTTCCAAGGCAAAAGTCTCTATTGGCTAGTCTGTTCCAAGCATTCAGATAGTTGGAAAACATTCTACTTTTGGCCTAAAATCAATTGAGTGCGACCTGCGAGAGAACAGCAGCCAGTTTTTATCTGTAGTTTATTTTTAACAGAACCCGTAATCAATTTAGTTCAAGGGAAATAGAAACTTAGATGAAACAGAACAAAGATAAACTAAATGAACTTAAACAAAAGAAGTGGATGACTAACCTGTTCCAGTTCCATCTCTGATTCAGATGATGAATCAGAACAGAGATCAGGCGATTCAGGTAAAAGCAAGAGGTTCCTTGGAATAGCCTGCAACAATAAAATAAAACTATTCTTAATCCACGGGTTCTCAATTTAAAACCTTTTAACATAACTGCCAAGATTAACTACCGCCAACTTGGAAATCTTCAGTAAAAGACGCTAATTAACGAAGGCTCCAAAGCGTGTTTGATTATCTCTGACGGACAGAAAAATAAGACTAAATAAAGTAAATAATGCATTAGTCAACTGCAACTCCGGCCCCCGACCCCCGCGGCATAGCAGAAGATAGCGGAAATTTAACGCGGCCAATGCCGGGATTTAACGCACATTTAACATGTTCGCCCCGGTGGCGGGGGAATTAACAAAATACCTGTTTTACCCATGTCATGAGGGGGCATTAAACAGTAATACGAATTTTCGGAAGCGGGGATAGTAGCGGGGATTTAACATGAGTGACTAAAGGAAAAGCCTCGTTTCCTGAACTTCTGTATGATGGCGGAAGAGAGATGATGCCGCAGAGAATGATAATATTAAAACATAAGAGAAACAGGGCAGGAAGGCACAAAACAGGTTGCCCTAGTCTCAGACACAGAAAGAAAGTGTATAGAACGTCCTGCATTGGTCAGTCGAGCGTTGCCTTACAAGGACTTTGAATGACATCGTTTGTTGTTTTTGTAGTTTGTTCAGTTCGCTCTTGAACGGCAAAACTGTTCAGGATGAACTCAAAATTTAATAAGAAAACATCAAGGAAATTATTTTACACAAGACAGGGATTTATCTCTTTTTACTCAGGAATATGCTAAGGAGTTGTTCGAAGCTCAAGGAAACATCATTTTTAAGGATATTTCACGAAAGTCCAAAGCTCCGCAGGATTTGCTTTGTATGGCGAGTGTTCTTGGAAAATTGAAAACAAGCTAATGCTATTTACGCGATGAAAATCATGCAATGGACACTTACGCTATACAGTGGAGAACAGCGAAGTGTTTATCTGTAAGGAAAATTTGTTTGGTGTTACTTTCAACCGTTGTCTCGAAGGTACAATTTTTTTGTGCGGGTTGTTATTTCAAAAACCAACGCTTCACCGAACTGCAAGAACCAGTATTTACCAAAGTAATGCTCAAGAACTAACAAACAAAAGAACAGCTATAAAAAAGACCTGTTTGTTTTCCGGACTTTCAAAGGAACTTCCCTTGACTTAAACTGATTTTATAGGAGCCCTGGACGATAAATGTGAAACTGTGAGTTCAATGTGTTTACTCTTTGCTTATTTGTTTGAATTGAACATGAACTGAACATCTTTCATTTGCTTTTATGATTGTTGTTTGTTATTTTATGAAAAGGTATGAATTAAAATTGATTCAGAAATTAATACTGTGGAAATTATGTGCTTTTGTTTTGCTAAAAGTTCTTGTTTTCACCCAATAATATCATCTTATGGCTGCTTGAAAATACGAAATTTCTTTTCTTGTGTTCAACTCCATGTTTTAATATCAGCTAAAGTTACTTGTTCTTAACGTTCTCAGTTAAAACATTTTATGGAGTTAGTTTAATCAGTTGGAAGAAATGAATTTGAAATGATACTTTGAATCTGCTAAAGTTTGTGATTTGATTTCAAAAGCAAATCTCGTGTTTTGTCGAGTTTAAAAATGACAAAGAAAGGAAAGTGGCGAAAGGCAAGAGCTGAGTAGAAATAAACTGTAAACAAAGAATAAAGAAACAAATTGTGATAAAATTGGAAAACTTACGTGGTAGTCTGACCGCAGCCAAGCGATGTTTCCGTGCTGCTGTACAGCTGATGTGAGATTCATCACTTGCTGTGGAGTCATCTTCACTCCTCCAAGCCACAGTTGCTCCAGGTGAGGAGCGCAGCTGAGATTTTTTATCAAGCTGTCGACTCCTGCACCCAGAAGAGGATTGGATGACATGTCGAGCACCTTCAAGTTTGGAAGACCTTGTTTAAATACTCTGCTGATAAACTCCACAGCAGGTGATGATGTTATGTTGATACCCCAGAGTGTTAATGCCTTCAGTTTGTGTGTTGTTGGGATGCTCCTCAGTAGAGACTCTGTTACCTCAGCATCAAACACTTCACGGGGTTCACCCATAACCCATAGTTCACCCCCAACCGATATCTCGTGTGGAGCGGTGATAAACGGCATCATCTCAATCAGCTGTTCCACTACTGACCTGTCCACATTAATGGCTCTAATCCTCCGAACCCTGGAGAGACCATGACGCTTTGAACAACAGCTGCTGCTGCTCTCTTCACTTGACTCATCACCATTCATGTTTGTCTTCTTTGTTGTCTCTTCTAAACTAACTAACGTCTTTACCATTTTAAAAGGAAGAGGTGTTACAATTTCAGTAAAATAAAGGTGAGTGTTGTTTTCTTCTTTCATTAAAAAAAACTCGTCAACACTACGCCATGGAAATACATTCAAAAATTCTGATGCTTTTTGTTCTCCTGTTCTATTAACTATAACAGCGTTTAATTGCTGTGCTAAAGTTATTAAATTATTATAACTTTGCTCTGTATACTGGTTGCGATCTGAGAAAAATATGTACATAAGTGAAGCGGTAGTTTTAACAAAATTTTCCTTTGCTGCAATATTCAGCTGGTCAGGATTTAATATGAACAAAACACCTCCTAGATTAGAAAGAAAAGTGGGCAAAAGTTCTGATCTCGTGTCTGCTGAGCAGTAGAAGAAAAACTGTGTACATAGAGTTAAAAGATTTTTTTGTGTTTCTGACAAATCTTCGACTGACGGTGCTTGGTTGTCGAAGCTGTACTCTCCGTCTTCCTTCGCCGCCATTCCCAACAGATGAATCAAGATCTCGCGCGCGGCTTCTTCTGACATTTCAGCAGCGAATTTAAAAACTTCATTCAACTTGAAGATCTTTTCAATTGAGTCGACTTTGAAAAGGGAATTGTTTTTACTTTCTTGAGATAACAGTTTTTCTTTCAGAAATAAAGAAGCCAAAAACTCCTGCATGGATTTGTGAATGAAATGAACGGCTTTGCACGGGTTAAGAGCGGACATGTTTAGCAGCTGAAACAACCCGACCTCGATCAGTTTCTCAGTCAAAACGGGATCTGGCAGTTTACTGAGAGGAAAATAAAGTAAATCTTGTAGAAGTGCGTCAAAGGCTAGTTCTCCTACTTTACAGAGTTCTTCTTTGTGGTCGTCAACTTTTTCCGCCGGCTTTTTTTGTTTTTCAGACATATGATTAAACATAGTCTGCAGAAACTTGAAGTACACCATCACCCGTGACGAAGGTAGTCCTTCACGATCCTTTTCTTTCCAAACCAACGACAACATTAAAAGTAAAATAGGTATTTTTGCTATGTCCTTTAGGTCTTGTTGCTCTAAATATCGAAAAAATTCCTTCACATCTTGATCATCTTTCAAGAATCTACGGGCGAACTCTTTTTGTCGCTTACGGTCAAAACCGTTGATCTCAAATTGAGCATCGCTGGAACTTTTCAATTCCTCTCCTTTCATGTCTCTAGACGTTATAATAACACAACAATCCCTCAACTGCTTTTTCTCCCAGATTTCAAGAACAGGTGATTGTCTTGCCGCGCTGTATACGTATTCATCGTAGCCGTCCAAAATAAGCAACACTTTTTCTTGGTGGTGACGAACGTAATCGTACAGGTTGTCAGTGGAAATTGGGCCATCACTCGGAAGAAGATTAGCAGCACTCAGAATGGCTGGGACATCGTTGAGGTTACAAACATCGCGTAATTTGACCAAAAGTACGAGATCAAATCTTCCTAACTTTCTTTTAAATCTGTGCTGGGACCAGTCAAATGTAGATTTTTGCGTAAAAACGGTCTTGCCTATACCTGGTCGTCCGTGAACCAAAATGCGCTTAGGCTTATGATGAAGTCTTCCGCTGTGAAAAATGTCGGTGTAGTGTTTAAGTTCCTTCTGTGTTACTCCGCTGGGCTTCTTCTCATCCATAAGCCAAGACAAGTGGGTGTAAATTTCATCGATATGAACGGCAGAGCTTTGGTCCCACGGAACGATTTTGACTTTGCTGTTGGTTTCATAAATTGATCGCAGCTGTTTCTGGCACTCCTTGAGGCAGAGAGAATCTGTTAAAGAAAATTTTACGTTCCTTTTTTTAAAGAATTGTTTGTTAAAAACTTGATATCTTAATAGGCGAGGAAAGTTAAAGGGAGGTAGTTGACGCACAAAATATAGGCCCTCATTTATATAAAGTGATCAGATCACCGAATATAAATAAAGTTTCCATATTTAAAAACAAATTATCCTCAACTCATGATACACCAACAGAAATGTAAGTAACAATGCATGTATATATCAGGGCTCTAAAACACCAGAATATAGTGTAGGAATGTAAATACTATGATCAAACGTTGAAGGAATGCTCCTTATTAATTCAATTTATTAATTCATTTATCTATTCAATTTTCTTCTTTTTCACCTGCTTACACACTGACTTTAACTGGATGGGGAGCTAACTAGAAAATCTAACAGTATATTTCGCTTCCCAGCTCGCACTTAATATTTCTCTTGTATTATAAAGTTATAACCTAGCACAAATTTCAGTTATAAAAAAGTTAAAAATGTAATTTCACCGTGAGCTAAATAAAGAATCGTTAATTGTTACAATTACAAATTATGAATATGGCGGGATGGGCAGCCTTGAGCGAGTAAATTTATATGTAAATGTCTTTGAAGACTGCATCAGTAAAGCAAGTGAAAGGGGCGTTACCCCACAAAGAGAGGTTCAGGGAGGAGACACCAATAGAGGGCTACCTGCCAAAGCCGTTAGTGACGTTTGTGGTTGAGTGCTAAAAATAATTCTTATTTTTTATAACTGGCCTCGAGGATTAATGCAAGTTAAAAATACCTTAGCAAAATTCTAACAGAAAAATTGAATGAGAAAAAGAATTTGATGCTTGAAGTATCAATTCATACTTCTTTGCTACTTATTTCTGTAATAAATATAAACAACTGTGACAATAAAGATCATTTTGTATTGCAATATAACAAACGATAAAAGTCATTTTCATATTCAAGCAAGCGGTTTTAATCTACTGTATTTCTGGTACCATTTCTGCTTTATTGATATAATAGTACCTGGTAACTCCTCCTTAGTGGCCGTAGAGCTAGAGGGCTGTTTCTCTGCTGACAGGTCTGTGAGTTAAACAAAATAGAATAAAAATTGAAGTGAGACATTTAAAACAACAGTTATTCTAAAGTATTTGGGGATGTTCATCAATATGTCAGTTTTTTTACGGCTCACATTTTAGTTTCTGGATCTGAATAATAAAGTTTTTATAACAAAAAGCACTGAGCAGCTTGTCTTGGGACTGAAAGTTTTACTGAATTGAGGGTGATACTGACATTTTAATTCACTAAATGATGTCTGGTCGCAGTGTGCACAATTTTAGACAATAAATTTATGTTTTAAACTTGGTTATGCAGGATTTCAGCTGCACACTGAGTTGATTCTGAAAGGGATCTAGTAAGCAGTTGCAGTTCAAAATATTTTCAAAACAGGAAAAAAAACAAAACAAAATATTTCTTTGGCCTTTCCAACCAATCAGAGGGTAGAGTTCTAGAATGATCTAATACCAGAACATAAAGCCACTAGAGCAGAGAGCTTACTGGTTAGAGTTCAAGGCTGTCACTATGGTTTCAAGTTTCAGAGCAGGGAATGGAACATCCTGAAAATTCTTTTGGTCCTATTTTCCTTTTATTTCCTATGAAAGTAACCAAGGGTCATGCTCATAGCAGCCAGGGGAAATCCACACCTCCCAGCCCTTAGTGACAGCCCTGTAAAGTTGGTTGCTAGTGTCCTCAGGGCGTGGTGGGGGAAGGTGGGGGAGAAGGATATACTACCCTATTAAACAACTGTGGTGCTCGTCAAATAAAAAATTCAAAAAGTATCCAAAGAAGGTATCGGAATCTTCCTTTGTCAGCATGGAAGAAATTCATTTTTTTAAGATCTATAAGAGGTACCAAAAAGAGGAGAAGATACTTCCCTGCTGTGAACCTTGAAGAATTAATAGATAGAAGACAAAGTTTAGTAGCTGGTTACTGTCAGGGAGCTGTTGTGATTCTCACATACAATGAATTAGTAATCTCTTATTCACCTGTAACAGAACGTGTGCTTGGGCCAGCTTGCTCAACCCTTCCAGATATAGATGGACCTTGAAATACAACAACAAATGAATAGTCATTTCACCAGTGTCTTGTTCACAACTTATGTTGTTAAATGAATTGCTTTTTTGGAGACAATGAACTGGATCAAATGCTTTTTGTCTTGCTGTAGGAGATTCATGAATCTTTTAATAAATCTTCAAAATAAACCATTTTTTGAATTTTCCACATGCCAGCTGTTTGTAATTTTAATATAATTTAACAATGAGTACCTGCATCTTTATACCAATGACAAAATATGTACATGACATACCATATCATGGTTGCACTCATGAAACAAACCCAAGTTCAAGCTCAAGTTTAGTGTTTACTGGCGACATTATAAACAGTAGGAACTTGAGTTGCAGGGACCACGTCCCCTGCTCTTTATGAACTAACAGTGTGTGGGTTCTTTAATGTCTCACGGAATTTTTATATACATGTATGATGGTTATTATGATTTACAAGTATTGTCCTTAATGGCCAGAAGACTAGAAAGTCTAACCATTTGCAGCTGTCATACGAAAGGCAGCACTTTCTTCACAGTTGCGTATATTTAGCTTCCCAGCTCGCACTTATTATTTCTCTTATATTAGAAAGTTATAACCTCGCACAAATTTCAGTTATAAAAAAGTTGAAAATGTAATTTCACCATGACCTAAATAAAGAATCATTAATTATTACAATTACAAATTATGAATATGGCGGGATGGGCAGCCTTGGCCGAGTAACATTTATATGTAAATGTCTTTGAAGACTGCAGGGTTGTCACTAAGATTTCAAGTTGCCGGGTAAAATACAACAAGTAGGCAGTGAATCAAACAGCTAGGGATTTCTTCTGGTTTTATTTTTCTTCTATTTTACAATAAAAGTAGCCGGGGGGCCACTCTCTTAGTAGCCGGGGAAAATCCCTGGCCCCCGGCTCTTAATGACAACCGGCTGAAACTGCATCAGTAAAGCAAGTGAAAGGGGCGTTACCCCACAAAGAGAGGTTCAGGGAGGAAACACCAACACAGGGCTAGCTGTCCAAAGCCGTTAGTGACCTTTGTGGTTGAGTGCAAAAAATAGTTCTTATTTTTTATAACTGGCCTCGAGGATTAATGCAAGTTAAAAATACCTTAGCAAAATTCTAACAGAAAAATTGAATGAGAAAAAGAATTTGATGCTTGAAGTATCAATTCATACTTCTTTGCTACTTATTTCTGAAATAAATATAAACAACTGTGACAATAAAGATCATTTTGTATTGCAATATGACAAACAATAAAAGTCATCTTCATATTCAAGCAAGCGTTTTTAATCTACTGTATGTCTGGTACCGTTTCTGCTTTATTGATATAATAGTACCTGGTGACCCCTCCTTGGTGGCTGTAGAGCTAGAGGGCTGTTTCCCTGCTGACAGGTCTGTGAGTTAAACAAAATAGAATAAAAATTGAAGCGAGACATTTAAAACAACAGTTATTCTAAAGCATTTGGGGATGTTCATCAATATGTCAGTTTTTTTACAGCTCACACTTTAGTTTCTGGGTCTGAATAATAAAGTTTTTATAACAAAAAGCACTGAGCAGCTTGTCTTAAGACTGAAAGTTTTACTGAATTGTGGGTGATACTGACATTTTAATTCACTAAATGATGTCTGGTCTCTTTAAACTTGGTTATGCAGGATTTCAGCTGTATACTGAGTTGATTCTGAAAGGGATCTATTAAGCAGTTGCAGTTCAAAAACATTTTCAAAACAGGAAAAAAACAAAACAAAATATTTCCTGGGCCTTTCCAACCAATCAGAGGGTAGAGTTCTAGAATGATCTAATATTAGAACATAAAAAAGCCACTAGAGCAGAGAGCTTACTGGTTAGAGTTCAAATAAATATACGTAACTGTGAAGAAAGTGCTGCCTTTTTTATGACAGCTGCAAATGGTTAGACTTTCTAGTCTTCTGGCCATTAAGGACAATACTTTTAAATCATAATAACCATCATACATGTATATAAAAATTCCGTGAGACATTAAAGAACCCACACATTGTTAGTTCATAAAGAGCAGGGGACGTGGTCCCTGCAACTCAAGTTCCTGCTGTTTATAATGTCTGTGACCAGTAAATACTAAACTTGAACTTTGAACTTGAGTTTGTTTCATGAGTGCAACCGTGATATGGTATGTCATGTACACATTTTGTCATTGGTATAAAGATGCCGGTACTCATTGTTAAATTATATTAAAATTACAAACAGCTGAGGAAAATTCAAAAAATGGTTTATTTTGAAGATTTATTAAAAGATTCATGAATCTCCTACTTATTTCTTAAATAAATATAAACAACTGTGACAATAAAGATCATTTTGTATTGCAATATGACAAACGATAAAAGTCATTTTCATATTCAAGCATTGCAGCGTTTTTAATCTACTGTATGTCTGGTACCATTTCTGCTTTATTGATATAATGGTACCTGGTAACTCCTCCTTGGTGGCCGTAGAGCTAGAGGGCTGTTTCCCTGCTGACAGGTCTGTGAGTTAAACAAAATAGAATTAAAAATTGAAGTGAGACATTTAAAACAACAGTTATTCTAAAGGATTTGGGGATGTTCATCAATATGTCAGTTTTTTTACTGCTCACATTTTAGTTTCTGGGTCTGAATAATAAAGTTTTTATCACAAAAAGCACTTCAGAGCAGCTTGCCTTGGGACTGAAAGTTTTACTGAATTGTGGGTGATATTGACATTTTAATTCACTAAATGATGTCTGGTCGCAGCTGCGACCAGACATCATTTAGTGAATTAAAATGTCAGTATAAGTGTGCACAATTTTAGACAATAAATTTATGTTTTAAACTTGGTTATGCAGGATTTCAGCTGCACACTGAGTTGATTCTGAAAGGGATCTAGTAAGCAGTTGCAGTTCAAAAACATTTTCAAAACAGGAAAAAAAACAAAACAAAATATTTCCTGGGCCTTTCCAACCAATCAGAGGGTAGAGTTCTAGAATGATCTAATACTAGAACATAAAGCCACTAGAGCAGAGAGCTTACTAGTTAGAGTTCAAGGCTGTCACTATGGTTTCAAGTTTCAGAGCAGGGAATAGAACATCCCGGAAATTCTTTCAGTCCTATTTTCCTTTTATTTCCTATGAATGCAACCAAGGGTCATGCTCATAGCAGCCAGGGGAAATCCACACCTCCCAGCCCTTAGTGACAGCCCTGTAAAGTTGGTCACTAGTGTCCTCAGGGCGTGGTGGGGGAAGGCAGGGGAGAAGGATATACTACCCTATTAAACAACTGTGGTGCTCATCAAATAAAAAATTCAAAAAGTATCCCCAGAAGGTATCGGAATCTTGATTTGTAAGCACGGAAGAAATTCATTTTTTTAAGATCTATAAGAGGTACCAAAAAGAGGAGGAGATACTTCCCCTGCTGTGAACCTTGAAGAATTAATAGATAGAAGACAAAGTTTAGTAGCTGGTTACTGTCAGGGAGCTGTTGTGATTCTCACATACAATGAATTAGTAATCTCTTATTCACCTGTAACAGAACTTGTGCTTGAGGCAGCTTGCTCAACCCTTCCAGATGGACCTTGAAATACAACAACAAATAATTAGTCATTTCACCAGTGTCTTGTTCACAACTATGTTGTTAAATGAATTGCTTTTTTGGAGACAATGAACTGGATCAAATGCTTTTTGTCTTGCTGTAGGAGATTCATGAATCTTTTAATAAATCTTCAAAATAAACCATTTTTTGAATTTTCCACATGCCAGCTGTTTGTAATTTTAATATAATTAAACAATGAGTACCGGCATCTTTATACCAATGACAAAATGTGTACATGACATACCATATCATGGTTGCACTCATGAAACAAACTCAAGTTCAAGCTCAAGTTTAGTGTTTACTGGCGACATTATAAACAGCAGGAACTTGAGTTGCAGGGACCACATCCCCTGCTCTTTATAAACTAACAGTGTGTGGGTTCTTTAATGTCTCACGGAATTTTTATATACATGTATGATGGTTACAGGGTTTGAGCTAGGATTTGATCACTGGGGGACAATTTGTCCCCTTGGCTAAAATTCAGGGGGTATTTTTATTTTTAGGGGGACAGAAATCTGTACACTCTTCTGCTGATGCAAAGAGGTTTGTCTCAGTTAGATTTCCGACAAAAATGGCTGAACTGATTGCCTGAGACCTTTTCATAGCGCAACCACGTGTGATGTCGTGATTTTTTCGGTTTCCTTCGATCCTCGTCCGTTTCTCCCTGATTAATACACTGTTCTTCTTCTGTATCATTTTTCCCTGATTCACTCTGGCTTTGATTTGAAGTGAAAAAGCTTTCTAATGTTCGAACATGTTTTCGATGTGACATGTTAACGATTGCCAGGAGCGTTCACCACCTTGGTTAGAGCATGAAACATATGTGTTCAGTAGAGCATGACTGAAATGTGACTTTAGAATGCTAAAATATACTTTCCATGTTGTGTTTTAGCTTGCAATTTCTGTACTGAACTAAATCTCTTCGTGTGTGCTTCCTTTCGAGTTTTTTCCCGAAATTTTGAAGGGGACAAATTGTCCCCTTGGCCGCTTTTTTAAGGGACAATTTCAATTGCAGTGCGGGATTGGCGCAATGGCGTGGCCTGGCTCAAACCCTGTGGTTATTATGATTTACAAGTATTGTCCTTAATGGCCAGAAGACTAGAAAGTCTAACTATTTGCGGCTGTCATAAAAAAGGTATCACTTTCTTCACAGTTACGTATATGTGACCTTCCACAGGAATTTGATGCTAAAGGTGAAAGCACACTCACGACATGCTTAGCGTGCCGTAGATCACGGATATGCGCATATTAAATTGAAAAAACAAAGACGGACACACTTGCCTTTGTTTTGATAACTTTAACATGCTAGACCTTTTGTTTTTTTGTAGCGTGCCATATGTCACGGTAAGTGTGCGAATTATAGCACGCTTAGCGTGCAATTGGGGTAAGACATGTAAGATCGTAAGATCGTAACCATAGCCATTTGAAA